ACAAAAAATATAAAATACGTAAGAGGGTTTAGCAAGTTTCCAGTGTAAAGTCGATATAAAAGTTGCTAGTGTTCCTACACACCGCCTTCTTGCTTCGTATAGTGAGGAACAATAACAGCAGAATACACGAAAGTGCCTTTCAAGACATTGCACCTAACAGCTGCTTAAGTTCTGCACAGCCTTTTGAAGAAAATGATGTAAGTTTGTTGAAAGACATTAAAAACCCTAAATAAGTGGAGAATAATACTGTGTGTATATACCAGGAGACCTAATGTCAAAGAGATGTCTTTTTTTTTTGGACTGGGGGCATGGCTCAAGTAGTAGAGTACCTGCCTAGCAAGCATGAGGCCCTGAGTTCAAATCCCAGTACCGCCAAAAAAAAAAAGAAAAGAAAAATTAAGTTTGAAGACCAAGGCAGAGAAGACGAGCCTACCAGACATCAAGACTTCCTGCAGCACTCTATAGGTAACACAGAGTGGTGTTGGTGCAGAGACGGCAACCAGCTCAATGAGGGAGAGCTCGGGGTCCCTCAGAAAGGGGAGCAGAGGTGACAGCAAGCTGGTGTCCTGACCAGCAGGAGAATTGACTCACACATGCAGCCACCCCCGTGGAGACCCACGGATGAACATCAAAACACTTTTAGAACCTGTGAGTAGGGAAACATTTCTTAAGCAATAAATGAAAACATCATAAAACAGAAGACAGGACGATAAAACGGTTAAAGTTTCTATGCATAGATGGCATCATAAAAATGGCAAAAACTAGCCAAGACTTCACCAATGAAATTCAGGGTATTACCCTGAATATGCAGCCTCCTTTAAAGCAACGAATGACAGCTAGCCAACGAAGACCAAGTGAGGGACAGGACCAGATGACCCATGGGTACAGAGACCTGCATGACCAGTGAATGGATCAAAGAGGACCCCTCTCACTAACAGTCTGGGAAATCAAGTCAAACCCAGCACCCTTTCCACCCATTGGCTTGGGTGAGACGAGGTGTGGGGGACAGTCCACACGTTAATGGTCACTGCTTTGAGAGCAGCCCCAATGTCAATCAAAGTCAAAGATGCATGTTCCCACTCTTCAGTCATCCCCCATCTGGGTCCCTGCTCCAAAGGCACCTGAGCAGATGGACCTGAGATGAGGTGTGTACAGCTGCTCACTGTGACATGGATTATGCAAACAAGAACACCGAAGCCGCCTAACTCCTCACTAACAGAGATGTGGGAAATGAATGTGCGGTGTGATTTATTCGTGCGTGGGAGTACAGCGAGGACTGTGGCTAAGCTTCAAGGAGAGAGTGTCAGGCAAAAAAGAAAATGGCAAATGGACATGCAAACGCTGGCACCATGTGTGTCATTTTTCAAGACACCTAAGTAACAATGCAATGATTACAATGGTTGAGATGTAAAACGACAAAGCACGCATGGGAGCGATGAAACTTAGTCTGAGTCATGAGAGATTGGCATGGGTGGTGAGTGTGACCAGGCACAGGTGTGGGAGTCACCAGGAAGGGGTCCTGGCAGAAGCCATGGAGGGGTGGCTTGGAGAGGTAGGAGGTGGGGTCCCAGGTCTGAAGCCGGCAGAGGGGCCAGGATGTGCAGAAGGAGGCAGGTGGTGACCAGGTGTTTACTCAGATAGCTGGTGATGGAGATAGGGAACTGAAATGGAAGAGTGAACTCTGGGGGGAGGCAGACAGCTCTTGGACTCACTGGGTCCCAGCGGTCACAGTGTGATGACCGGCCAGTGGGAGGCTGGGTGGGGTTGGGTCTCCAGCGATGGGGAGGCAGAACCTTGACTTTGGGAATTGTCACGCAGGTGGCCAGGGACTCCCAAAGAGAGCAGGTGACAATGGCCTATGTGAGGTGAGGCTGGTGGAGGTCAGTCTGGGCCTCATGGAAATGTAGAGGGATGGCTTGAGACTCCCCTGTGGTTACAGCTTCCCAGGCCCTATTGCTTAAGCCCTCTTTCCTCAAGACATAGCCGCATCACTCAGCTACCTGTGCTGCAGCCCTGTGGTAGCCTGAGTGCTGACCCTCAGTTCCGAGACTGAAAGGATGAGGGTCGTGGCTGGCAGCGTGTCCTGGGAGGCCGGCTCCAAACTCCTCTCCAGGAGGACTGTGAAGGATTGTGTTCTACTGCGCTGTGTCCCTGTTGTCTACAGCTTTTATATTTAGGAAACAGATGCAGTTTAAGTGGACACACCACTCCTGAAGGCTGCCAGTACCCTGTCCACTGTCCTCCTGGTCATCGTGGGGGTTCCCCTCTGAGGCCCCTGTGAGGATGGTCTGTGAGGAGCACATTTGTTGCAGTGACAAAAAGCATGCACCTAAATAAATGCATGGGTATAAGTTTGTTTTAAAATAAAAACAGGGCTTTTTTTCTGATTCTAAAATTAAACACATAGCCACTGTTTAAAATACATACAATTTAGAAAGCTACAAAGCAGAAAGTCGTGTCAGCTGAGGTCCTACGACCTAGAAATGTAACTGCTGGGTGTTTTGGTATATGCACTTTCAGACTTTATTTTTCTGTGAATTCCATACACACACACACACTTATTTTCACAAACAGAAATGTGACCATACAGTACAGATTCTTCTTTGTGGTGCTGGGAATTGAACCCGGGGCCTTACACACGGTAGACATGCACACATTTTTATAGCCAGCCTTCAAAACACGTACCGTAAGTTCCCATGCTTCCATCTCAGCGACATAGACTTCCTACGCTTTCCATGGCATTGCTGGATCCTGTTGTGCGCGTCCTGCTGTTGGTGCGAATTCTTTCTCTCTGGACATTAGGATGATTCTAATTTCCTACTCTTGTATTATGAGCAAGGTTGCATCAGCATCCTTAAGTGAGTCACAGTTAAAGTTCTTAGAGCAGTGCCCGGCACCGGGCGCGCGCTATACAAGCATTTGTCACCGAAGTCAAGTCTGCAGTGAAGTCCACATTGTCACGCAGCCCCTGAGAACGGAGTCCCAACCGTAGAGTGGCTGGGTCGCAGGGTTCTCACGCTCGGTGGTTGCACTTCTGACGGGGAGGAAAGCCGCTCTCTGAGCAGGGCCTGAGCTCCTGGACCACCCCTGTGTCCGTGTTCAGGCCTCAGAGGCAAACTTATTCTTCCACCCAGGAGCTGGTTTGGATCTTGACCTCAGGGCCACCCCCATCTGGCTTCTGCACCTGTCCATGTGGGACTGAGGGCAGGTGACCCAATCTTACTTCCCTGACCTGTGACACAGACAGTAATTAGTCCTCAGCATTAGCCGAGGAGCTGTCGTGACTGTTAGGTGAGTTAGGACACGTGCAGAGCTTAGGACAGGGTCCGCTCTTGCAGTGTTAGTCACTGCCGTCACCGTGAATGTCTTGTCAACAGTGCAGCTGTGGTCTTCCTCCGAGCAACATGGCTGCTTCTCAGAACTTACTATTGCTAGTCAGATCTAGACCAACGGCAGAGAGGACCAGAAGTTACAGTCCCCACACTGTCACCTCACTTCATATTTTTTTTTTTTTTGTCTTTTTCTTTTTTTGGTGCTGGGATCGAACCCAGGGCCTCAGGCATGCTAGGCAAGCGCTGTACCACCGAGCTACATCCCAGCCCACCTCACTTCATATTGTTGGTCTTCTCTGGGGCTGTGCTGCCTGCCTGCTGGGTCTGATTTGGGGGAAATGACATTTAGGCTTGACTGGAAGAGACAGGTTGGCTGAAGTGTGGGGAGCAGGCAAGGGCACGGGGCAGGGCTGACAGAAGCAGAGTGAGGACATGGCACCTCCCTGCCCTGCTCTCCAGAGCCAGGGCAGTGCCCACCCCGCCACTGGGGTTCTAGACTCAGACGTGGAATCAGTGCTCATCTTGGAGGTCAGAAAGTGAGCAGGGTGGCAAGGAGAGGGCAGTGAGGGTCAGGGGAGTGAGGGTCAGGGGAGCGAGGGCAGGGAGTGCCAGTGATGGTCACTTTGATTGTTTCCTTGGCCCAGTAGAGTCCAGTAGTGTCCTTCTGCTGCTCAGAAGCCCCGCAAGACCTGCACTTTCTTAGCCGCTCAGTGGGGCTGCCTTTCGGGGGCCACTGAGACATGCTTAGGTCCGTGGGGGAGGCAGGCTGAACTCTGCTCGTCCTCCCCAGCACCGTGCTGGCCTGGCTAGTCCCATGCCTCTGTCCATCTGCATTCTTCGGGGGTTCAGGAGAATATACCTTCCCTCCTCACCGTTTGCAATAAGAGCACCTCCTCAGTGGGCCTGCACTCCTGTTGTTGACCCAAGAGTGACAGAATCCTGGTTGGGATTCTCCATCAAGAGGAGGAGTGGAACTAGAGCAAAGGTGAGATCAAGAAGAATTAACCTAGAAGGTAACACACGCACAGAAATCAATGTGAGTCAATGCCCTGTATAGCTATCCTTATCTCAACCAGCAAAACCCCTTGTTCCTTCCTATTATTGCTTATACTCTCTCTTCAACAAAATTAGAAATAAGGGCAAAATAGTTTCTGCTGGGTATTGAGGGGGTGGGGGGGAGAGGGAGGGGGTGGAGTGGGTGGTAAGGGAGGGGGTGGGGGCAGGGGGGAGAAATGACCCAAGCCTTGTATGCACATATGAATAATAAAAGAAAAATGAAAAAAAAAAAAAAAAAAAAAAGAGGAGGAGTGGATCAAGGCAGCCAGGGACTGCGGAATCCCCGCGGGCAGGAGCTGTCCAGCCATGGCCTCCACTGCTCACGTGAGGACATGGCTGGAGCAGCTCAGAGGCCGGGATTCCTCCCTTCTGCAGAGCGAGCGAGGAGCAGCGTGAGGCCTGAGCGGTGCGGTGCGGTCCCCCCCTCCCCGCACTCTGGACAGAGGAGCCCAGCGCTGGGCCTTGCAGAGGACGCCTCTGTGCTCCCTTGGGGAGAGCTCCGGCCATCCTGGCTGCAGGGCTCTGCTTAGAAACGGTTCCTCCCCCTGGATGTAGTCACAGCCTGGTAAATTCCATCTGAAAAATAAAAGCTGAGCTCTTTGCTGAGTCACAGAAGCTTCAGAGCTGATTTGCAGAAGCCAGGCTGAGTCTGGACAAACGGAGCAAGATTCCCACAGTCAAGATGAGGAATGGGTGAGAGGGGAAGAACCCGGGAGGGGTCGAGAATGTAAGGTTGTGTTTTGAATCCTGCAAAAGCTTTTTTATTTTCAGTCTGGGCTGAGGTCTTTCTTCACGGTTTATTCAGCGTGAATTTCCTTCTGTATTTCGCAAGCACACATACGTGCTGGGAAGTTAACAGTTTGGACAGTGTGCCATCCTGAGTGTGCAAGGAGCACACAGAGGAATATGTGCCACATCCGTTTTTATGTGCAAGCTCCTGCATTCCTCTGGGGGAGTTCTGGGCCTGCTTCTCGGAGTGTGCTTTTCCTTTAAAACATGGCTGTTTATCTGATGGCATATGTAAAGCTAGGGCTTGTTCCCTGGAGGCCGGTGGGGTGGGGAACTAGGTGGTGACTTTGCTTAGCACTGTGGTGGTGAGGATTCCATCGACAGAACAGCCTGGGAGCCCGCACTCATCAGTCAGCTCAGTGGGGTACTGGATTGGAATTGCCTCTAGTTTTCCTTTGTGAAGTAGGTGGCATTTATGGCTCAGGGCCTCATCTCCCATCTGACCTTTGATTGGATGATGTCTTCTTGATAAAACTTAGTGAAGAACCAGAATTTGCTCACTGACATCATTTCTATGCAAAAAACTCAAGTGTTTGGGGAAACAACAGTTTATTAACAGACACTCCTCATTTTCCTTTGAAAGTGTGCCTCAGTTTCTCCAGCGGTTCAAAGAATATCCAGTGATGACTGGGGCTGGCAGGGCTGTGGAAAGCTATCGCAGGTAATTTGGCGGTAATGGTTACTCTGCTGCTAGTCTGAGAGGCAACTGAGTAACCATGAAGCCGTGCAAACAAGCTAAGGACATAGGTACCTGCTGTCCCCTGTCATTTTGGCTCATACTTGTTCACAAAACAAGTGGGCCTTTCTCATTTAAATCTGAGGTCCTCAGCACCAGTGGGTCACACATGTAATCCTAGCTACTTGGAAGACTGAGATCAGAAGATTTGTGGTCCACGGCTAAGCCCAGGCAAAAAGTTAGGAAGACCCCATCCCAGTCCATCTCGGGGCATGGTAGCGAGTACCTGTTATCCAAGCTATATAGGAGGCAGAGATCAGGAGGATCTCAGTTCTAGGCCAACCCAGCGAAAAAGTATGTGAGACCCCCATCTCAACCAAAAAAACTGGGTATGGTGTTGTATGCCTGTCATCCCAGTGATGGTAGGAAGCTTAAAATAGGAGTATCACAGTCCAGACCAGTCTGGACAAAAGGCAAGACCCTATGTCCAAAATAACCAGAACAAAAAGGCCAGGAGATGTGGCTCAAGCAATAGAGTGCCAGCATCACAAGGGCAAAGCCCTGAGTTCAAAGCCCAATACCACCAAAAAAGAAAAGCAAACAACAAACAAACAAAAAACAAGGTGTGAGTTGAAGATTTGAGACTGTTCTCAGCAGACTGGAGCCTTTAAACAGATGAGCCTTTGCAAACAATGCTGCCTTCATTCCGGGGGTAGCAGTGGAATGGAGAAGAGCCCCAGGTTGCTATTGGCACCACAGGGAAAAGGCCAGCTGTGGATCAGGTTCTCTGGGAAGTCAAGAAACAAACATCTCCAGGAAGACAGGGCCTTCATTCTCACAGCTGAGGATGTGGTTGAGGGAGACACAGACAGACGCGTTTGTTAAGTTTTCTTTGCTGATTCTCGTGGTTTGAGAGCGCACCGGGAGACCCCACGCTTTAAGGTCCTTTCTGATCCTAAGTAGTGGTATCTCTATAGGGAGGGAGCTCTAAGGAAGGAAGCAAGAGCCAGTCTTCAGCCCCCAAATTCCAGAACTATTGTGCTAAGGTAAGTGCAAGTGTCCTCTGGAGTTCTTAGAAGGTTGACCTTGACCATGGGCTCCCATAAGCCCCAACTTCCACTCAGGACAAATGCCACATCTTCTGACGCCTCCCTGCCTCCTCCGTTTCCAGGCAATCGAGCCAGATGAGGTGTGGTTGGTCTGTTAATTTCCCAACTGGACCTGAAGCGGCCCTATTAGCACAAGGACTGAAGAGTCCAGGACTCAGCCACAGAGGCAGTAGGTCTATTTGGAAGAGTCTGTGTTGGCTCCATGGTGTCAGAACATGGTGTCATCGTCCAGTGCCCCAGGTGAGCTCTGCCCATGTGAGGTGCACTTCAGAACCACAGACCAGAGGCCTCCATTCTGCATCCCACTGCCCCGTCCTGCCTGTCCTGCCTTGCAGGGGCTTTATTTACCAAATATAGGACAATGTCACAGGCAGGGCCCTGCCTGTTCTGCATTGGTGTCCTCCTGGCAGGCCCTCTGGAGCTGAGCTGGGGCTGTGCACGGCTCAGGAAATGCCTAGAAACCCTCTGTGGTTGTCCCTCTCCAGGTGGTTAGAGGGTGTCCTAGGAAACCATGTCAGTGACCCAGGATTGGCCTCAGAGTGGGGCTGACCAAGCCTGGTGCAAGAAATCCTGGGCCCAGTGATTTTTTTGACTCAAGGGGAAGGTTGGGGGTGTCCAGAATCGTTTGCGGAGGGAGTGAACCTCTGTGCTCAGCATGAGGCCGGCTCTGAGGTCAGGGCTTCAGCTGGACACATGGGATGTTTCATCCAGGTGAAGAAGAGTCCCACTCCACCAGTGTTGCCCGTGGGCTGTGCACTTATTAAAATTCCCCTTATCTCCCAGACATTGGCCTTGTCTGGTGGTTGGGTGACCCCAGATCACTTTGACTTTGAAGAATGCCTGGACCCTCTGGCTTGTAGAGGGCTCTACGTGAATGCACAGGTAGGGTGCTGGCTACAGGGCACAGCCCAGCAGCGCTTGAGGTCAGCAGCCTCTGAAGTAGCCCCATGCCTGTGCTACCCACAGTTTCCCAGGCTTGCTCCATCCTCTGCTGTGTGTTAAGCTGAGATCCAGCATTGTCCTGGTGTTGGGGAGGGGTCGTCAGAGCAAAAGGGACCTGGGATACATCACCGCTTCACCCAGGGCCCCCAGCAACCTTTGTGGGCTCAGGAGCTTTTGAAAATGAACGCAGTGAGAACCTGGCCTGCTCCTGCAGCTCATGGGGATGTCTGAAACAGCTCCCCAAGTTCTCATCGGATGTTCAACTCTGTGTGCCGGCCCCAGGTTTCTGTGGTCAGCTTCCAGCTGCGCCAGTTGGCAAGACCAGTTTGTTTTATTAAAAAGCACAATTGGCAGTCGTGTGGCCTTTGGTGGCTTGCACCATGACTCTGATCTCAGAACAGGAAGGAGATGAAACCCAAGGACAAAGGGCCTTCTTGTGGCATTTGACAATGACAAGAGAGCTGGGCTGCTGGGAGCAGTGGCTTCCATCTGTGACCCATAGGAAGGAGGAGTGTGACACCCTAACTTTAAAATGACTGAAGCAAAAAGGGCTGGGGACCCGGCTCACGTGGGAGAGCGCCTGCCTAGCAAGTGCGGGGCCTCCAACCCTCCCCCACAAAGTTAAGAGATCTGGGCTGGAAAGGTTGGCCACTTTGGGGCTTTCCCAAGTTCACTGTAAGTGTTCACTGAGCACCCCAGATGGGCACCGGAGGCGTCAGGCTCAGTCAGAGCACGACAGGCCTCAGTAAGACCCAGGTGGAGAGCTCTGCACCTTGGAAAGTGACCTGGGAGCAGCCAGTCGTGACGAGGTGCCGTCATCTCTAGCATTCATGGCTGCAGGTCACACCTTGAATCCGGGTGGTGTCTCCACCCAGATTTGCTTGTCTAACTGGACTGTCATCCCTTTCAAAGTGCTTTGCAACAACTCCGCTGCTTTTTAGGGTTTGTGTCACGAGTTACCGTTTGCAGCTTTTTTGTGTGCAGACTGTCGTGTGCAGCAGGTCTGGTTTGCTCCTAAAAGTCCTTTTCATTTGCTTCCTTTATGAAAGGAAGAAATGCGTGCATTTATTTGCTTATTCGTGCAAGTAAACCCGCACACAGGAGAGGGCAGCAACTTTGGACACAGGCTTCAGCACCTGCCTTTCATGTTTTGCTTAAAATATGAAACCAGTTTTATGTGTGATCACACTTTGTTGTGCTTTTTATATGTTGTTGGTTTTGAGTGACTAATTTTACTAAGGACTTTTTTCATCCATCTGTATGAGGGTTATGCTTTTTTTGTAATATTTTTGCTCATTTCGATGTCAAGTGTCTTGTCCTCCTAAAGTGACTTGGGAAGTGGTCTTCATCTTAATATAGAACGGGTGTAATTCTGTCCTTAAATGTTTGGTAAACTATATCAACTAATACCTAGAGTTTTCTTCTTGTTTTGTTTTTATGCTGTTGTCACAGTCACATTAATTAGCCCAGGTGGTCCTAGAACTTGCTGTATTGCACAGACTGGGCTCAAAATCCTTTTGCCTTCACTTCCTGAGTGCTGGGATTACAGATGGGCACTACCACGCTAGGCTCTTAACACCTTCACCATTTCTGTTTTGCTTACTTTTCTTTATGTTCTTAAGAGGGAAGCCTAGACTAGGATTAGATTACGATTGGAGACCTTTTTATTTTCCAGAATAAGCACTTTACTGCCTTAATTCTTCCTCTTTCTTACCACTGTGACTGTGTCCCACAAATCTTGATATGTTCTACTTGCATTTTCATTTATTTCAAAATATCTTTCTTACTAGTTTGAACTCAGGGCTTCAGCATTTGCAAAGCAGGTGCTCTACTGCTTGCGCCACACCACCAGTCCATTTTGCTTTGGTTATTGTGAAGATGACATTTTGTGAACTATTTGCCCAGGCTGGCCTCAAACCTCGATCCTCCTGATCTCAGCCTCCCATGTAGCAGGAATGCAGGCGTGAGCCACAGGCGTCTGGCTCCATGATGTATTTCCATTTCGATTCTTTTTGGCCAGAGAACATGCATTAGATCGTTTTGGTTGTTTTAATTTTGTGGTACTCGTTTTATTATTTAGCGTCTAGTCTGTCTGGACGAGTGCTTCATGTGAACTTGAAGACACCGTATACTCCGCTGTTCCGGGTAACACATCCTGCAAACGTCACTTAGGTCAA